GTTGAAACTAACGTTCACACGTTACCCTGCCTAATTAAACAAACTTGCATCTACAGTTTGCAACACCGAGGCTGAGGCATTAACGTTTGGTCTATTTTTGCTTTTATCTAATGTCATCATTAGTAGGTTCTCAAAGGAAACATTCATTTTTCATTGAACACCTCCATTAATCCTCAGATATAAAACATGTCTGTGTGAGCACCCGTCTCTGGGCGGCACGCACATGAGGACAAAACTCATTTGAGAAGAGCATAAAGTTCAGCTGGAACGCTCCGTTGAACAACCAGTGAAGCAGGTTTACGCTTCAAAGAGACTCAACTATTTAGCAATCAAACATTCAGAGAACTCAATCAGAATCCGGTTCTAAGAGCCGGTTCATCTGAACCGTGTTTCTGGGAAAATGTGAGTGACAACTCAAAGGTTCACAGGACTAAGTGTGTTCCAGTTTTACAGTAACGATAGCTTGTGGATCAGTCATTGATCATGTGCACACAAAAAAAACTAACTCAATTGTTAAAGGCAAGAAAATGATACTGTACCACTTTACACTAAGGCTTTCCTTATAAGTGGCAGCTAAATAGTTTATAGGTGTGTTATTAGTTTGTCTGTAACACTATAAATCATTAATAAGATTTAATACGCATTAACTAAAGGTGGCTCTCTATTTTGCAGCAGCTTTGTCTCAGTCTCATCTAAATTAAAGCAATATTCATTTAAAAAGTTTTATAGATTAATTAGTAATATAAAACATACAAGGAGCTTTTTTGTAAAGAGGAGTCAAGTACAAATACTGAGCTCAGTGCTGATCACAGCATATTAATGACAGCTTGGTTAGAAAGTCCAATCATTTTAGTTCATTCTGGCATGGACATGATAAGAAGCAGAGCATTCAGTGCATCTGTAATTAATTATATCTCTGATTACATAAAAAAACTGAAATGCACAGATGGTTCAAGCTTCTTGTGTCAAACAGCTGCAGAAAATCAGTAATATTTACACGTTGCAAAATACTCATATCTGGAAATCAAATTTCTAATTTTGGTAGCACATTAGGGTCCCTTTAATAATATTACTTAGTGCATTATTAAGCATTAATAAACGAAGGATGCCTTTATTAACATCCACATTATTGTCAAATATTAAGTGTCCTTAATGTTAAAACAAAGGGCCAAAGGGAGTGTCTGCTTAGTAATGAATTACTTAATATTACTATTATTGTTAAGCAGTTGTTAATACTTTATTTATTAGTGTATTCATGCTTAATAATGCACTAAGTAATGTTTAGAAACAAATATCACTCGTGACCAAGCTCTTCAGATTTGAAAAGAGAAACCAAAGAGTCACATGAGGCCACAGGTTGGAGACCCCTGCTTTACATGAGTCATCATCAAATATGAGCCTATTTCATCCAGATTGGACTTTTAAAGCTATGAAGCTGCATTGTAGATCTATTTCTGCTCTTTCTGCGTTTTATTGTTTTGATCGGAAGCCGGCAGATTTTAATGGAGTTGAATGTGTTCAAGTTTTTATGGGATGAATGGCTTTTGTTTTATAACAGAGTCTACGTTTACTTTTACTGTCAGTCCTTTTTAATTTCCACATCTATTGCATGTTTGATGTGTGTTCAGCAACTTGAGCTGCCTTTAAGGTGCATATAAATATTTTGTTATTAATAATCAAAGTTTTCTAGGATTACGTCTTTATGCATCTTTGGTTATTAAAAATGAAATATACCCCCTTTAATGAGCCTGCTCTGTTTATATTGTTTCATGATAACTGATCTGATGGCCTTCAAATCGGGTTCATTACCATACAAACGTCGGAAAACGTTCATGCAAAGTATTTGTGAAACAGATGACAGTGGTGTGAATAAACGATTCGTTTATAATGCTGAGCTTGGTTCACAGATAACAGAATGTAGGTTTAAACGCTGAGATAGCAGAACGCACCTGCACGAGTGTAACTCATCATCTGTAAAGACTCAAACAGCTCGGGCATGCTGTGGTGTGAGGTTTTAACAGCCGAGTGCTGCGTAGGAACAGAGGAATTCAGATGTAAACACTCCAATAGTTACTGAGGCTGTTTCCATTCTAATTAGCATTTTGACTCATTTCATGACTAAACTCAATCACAATAAGAAAGCAAATGTTTCTGGTGAAAGTATTCGGCCTCTGCGACTGCTTTATGAATGTTTGATTAAACATTCTAAGGTTTGTTTTTCTAATTTTGCATAATGCACCTGTAAATCCTCCGCAAAGTGACCCAGCGCACTATTAGCAACTGCAATAAACTTTTTTTAATGCCGGCGTTTAGTGTGACTTATGGTCACCTGCTGCCATCTGGCTTGTTGACAGATAGCGGAGATGTAATCCGTCACCCAGCCCATAAATCGGTCCAGTGAAGGTTACGTGATATACAGAGCCAAATGCTTGAAGACACACTTACAGTATGAGGACGTGCAAGTTCATACGCACACTGTGCAACCTTGTGGTGGGGCTTACACACACTCTGATGCACACACGCACCTTTTCAGATGCACTAGAAATGCTTGCAGTTAGGCCTGACTTTATGCTGTCAAACATGCTTTAATTTTTGTGCTTTTTTACAGTGTCTAACATTTTGTGATGTAGTTGAAATAAGCTGAAACCCAGAATAATATAATGCGACAGAATAAAAACCATAAACTGAATGCATACTTCAGAAAATGCTCCTTAACTGAAACGTACTAATACTGAAATACTACTAAGCAATACACATTTGGCTAAATGTTTTTTCAAAAGCAAGTCCTCCAATAAAGTTTTTCTTTCTCAAGTAAATCTAAAAGAAAAAGATCCTGGATGCGTCTGGCTGAAATGAGCATTCACTGAGGTATGATGGAGAGCGCCACATCCAGGTGGGTCTGGGAGTAGAGCCGCTACTCAACTGAGTCATCTTATTAGCCTGGTCACCTCCCCTTGGAGGTTTTCAGGGCATGTTCCACTCAAAGGACAACCTGACGCACACCCAGAACTAGCAAGTGGAGTTATATATCCTGTCTGACCTTGAGATCTCCCCAGAGGAACCGTTACCTCTGTGAGGTGAGTTTGCATGAGGGGATGTCATTTGGTAAGAGTTGCATGTTGACATTGCAGAAAGACTTCTGATCTGTGACATCTTTTAATTGGACATGTGGTGTTGTGCAAACATTCATCATATGCAGAGCTGTGTGCAGACTTTATAAAATGAAACTTAATATTCTCTCATGAAATGAAGAAGAAGAAGAAAATATCATTTCTATAGTGCCTCTCATGATAAAAATCACGAGGCGCTTCACAAAAAAAAGTAAAAATATAAAAAAGCATTTAGAAAATGTTTAAAAATATATTTAAAATGAGTAAAAAATAGGCAATTGGGATTTAAAAGAAAAAATGATAAGAAAGAGAGAGAGTGAGTAGGAAAGAGGGAAATCAGTGGATCCTGAGGATCCTGGATCATTATGTGCTTGTGTTGAATGTTATTTGAATTAGAACAGCATTAATAAAACTTGAAGGGGTGCACACAAATGAAAATATAAAGAAATGTTTTGAAGTTAAAGTCCTATTACTCATCACACACTGGTGAAATTTATCTCCGCATTTGACCCATCCCCATGGGGAGAGCTGAGCTGTAACTGTGGCCGCCCTGTGGAACTATTTGGTGGTTTAACCCCCAATCCGACCCTTTAAAGTTGAACGCCAAGCAGGGAGGCATTGGGTCCCCTTTTTTAAGGTCTTTGGTATGACCCAGGATTTGAACCCTGATCTCCCAGTCCCAGGGCGGACACTCTACTACTAGGCCACTGAGAAGGTGAGCAGAACTATTGTACAAACTGATTAACTCTGATTAATGCACAATGGTAACAACGGTTTAAAGTCATATAAGCTGCAAAGCCAAAGGAGTCAATGCAGATTGAGCAACTATGACTTGTGCATCCTATGGTTGCAACAACAGGCGAAAACATAACGTGGGATTTCTGTCGACTTTTTTAGCTTGCCTGTTGGGATTTTATATTTTAATTTATTTGGTTTAATTATATGTATATTTTAACTATCGTGCCATAACGTGTGTCTGATTTTGTAAAAAAGCATAAGAAAATGTGTTTTTAGTTGGGTAAACACCTTCCTCAGTAGAAATAACTGCACTGGGGGCACTTCGAGGTGCAATCATGTTTTAATCAGTCACGCCATCCAGCTTGTTTAAAACCAATCCTAAAGCAGAGGCCCTTGGAGTCAGTCATACATCCCTTTATTACATCCCACTTGGACTACGCGAATGCGCTCCTTATTGGTACCCCTGTCTCAACCCTAAACTGGCTGCAGGTCATTCAGAATGCTGCTGCTAGGTTTTCCACTAACACAAATTGATGTAGCCATATCACTCCAGTTCTCGTGCATCTCCATTGGCCCCCTGTCACCTTTTGTGTAAAGTACAAGATCCTAATATTTGTGTTCAAAGCCCTGAATAACCTGGCACTCTTATTTATCTGAACAGCTTACTCCCTGTGTACCAGCATGTGTGTTGAAGTCTGCTCACTGTCTTGTTACATCCCATATGGGCTACAAATCATGTGGAAAACAGGAGTTTATGTATGCTGCTTGCTCTGGAATTCTTTACCCATCACATTTAGGCAGGCATCCTCTCTGGCCATTTGAAAATCTAGTTTAAAGACCTACAGTCATGTCTTGGCCTTTGGCCAGTGACACTTTTAGTGTATTTTAAATTAATGCTTTTACTTTTTTGTATTCATCCCCCCATTGCCCTTTGTTGTCTTATTTGTTTTTTAATGAATGTGTCTGTACAGCACTTTGGTCAGCTCTCATGTAGAGTTTTTGGATGTGCCCAAGAAATAAAAGTGGTACGGTATGGTGGCGAAAGGGGACCCATCCAAGATGGTGGCCGGCCACTACGACAACGCCTGATCTCGGGGCATAAACGAGAGAGGTGTACGTTTCCTTTAAGAAGCCAGCCTCTGACGTAATCCGTCGCGTATATTTTGCGACGTGACGTTGAAGCAGTCACCGGCTTCCTTACCGTTGTGCTAAAGCTACACTATTGAAAAGAAGGGGAAAAAAGATTATATATTTTCTCAAAAGCTGCCAGCGGTTTGAATGTTTCGGGAATGTTCCGCTCGGCCCTTCAGGATGTCATGAAGTCCTCTAGACGTCTGCGAAACGAAGCTATTGTTGCTGCGGAGGAACACGTAAGAGCCAAACAACGAACACTGTTAGCGTAAAAACAAATCTGTTTTTCTGTTTGAATACGAACCGTCTATGTGTTTTATAACAGTTTTATTCTGCGTATGAACTTAGACCTAGCCTATTATGTTTATTTAATTAATATTATTGTTGTTGCAGGAATTTTCAGCACACTAAGGAGAAATCCCGGTGACAGCATCCCCCTCCTTGGACCCCTTCACCAAGAGCAAGTCTGAGATCTGGAAGCAGGTGATTAGCAGCCTCCCAGCGAGCAGTTCCTTCAGTGAATCTCACCTGTCAGACCTGTGCACCACACTGGGCTCCTGTAGCCCCTCCATGCCTGTTATCCCCATCCCACGGCGGGTGCGCAGCTTCCATGGCCCCCACACCACCTGCATGCACTCTGCCTGTGGGTCGACTCACACCTCCAAGCTGGTGCGCACCAAGTACAATAACTTTGATTTGTACCTGCGCTCCCGCTGCATGTACAGCTTCCTCCGCTTCCTGCTGTACTTTGGCTGCAGCCTGCTGACCTCTCTGCTCTGGGTGCTGCTCTCGGCCATCTTCTTCCTGCAGTACGTCAGCGTGCGTGTTCTTCTGCGGCTGCAGTATAAACTGTCAGTCATTCTGCTCCTGCTGGGGCACCGGCGCCTGGACTTTGCCGTGCTGAATGATCTGATCATCTACAGCATGCACATCACCATGTTCCTGGTAGGGGGTCTCGGCTGGTGCTTTATGGTGTTTGTGGACATGTAGCTGGGTTGTGAAAAGGGTTCTAACACTGCAACTTGAGCATCGTGTGTTGCACAGGACCACACACACCTGTAGCACATCCTGTAAGATGAGAGTAAAAGTACATATTGCACTACGGCATCTAAAAATCACTGTTTTAGTTTACATCAATATAATATCAATTTACATAAATCAGTCTCTAATAATGATGCAGTCACTGTCAATATTAGATTATAACGGGACCAATAGCAACAAAGTGTGTATATTTTTGTGTTTCGTGCCATTTCCATAAGTGCTTTTTGTGCAGAATAATTTTTTACTGTAAAAGAAATCATCAATGCTATTGTTGCATGGAATATTGAGATATGTGACTGATCTTGAGCTTAAGTTCTCAATGCATACGGTGCAATTATAACTGTATTTTGTGTGCAAACATCATGTAAATATACAATTATGCTTGAAAACCGTGAAAATGCAGTGACTTCATGAATCTGTGTCTGCTGTGAAAAGGAGTTTCTATTTGTTTTATTGTCAAATGTTTCAGACATGACATCCAAAAATGACCTTAGTAAACACAAAAGGAATGTTTCTAATGATTCTCATTTATTAAGGAAGAAAAACTTTCCAAACTAACTTGGCCCTATGTTAAAAAGGTATTGACCCCCAAACTTAATAACTGCATGTTACACTCTTGGAGACAAGTGTTAGTGATAACTGGTAAGAATTTTCTCACATCTCAGTTAATGAATTTGGTCTACTCCTAATTTCTTTAATTCAGTCACATTAGAGGTTTCCAGCATGAATGGCCTGTTTAAGGTGAAAGGTCAGATATTCTCCCTCAGAATTTTCTGCTAGTGGATCCATCGATCACAGCAAGTGGTCCAGGTCATTTAGCAGCACAGCAGCCCTAGACCATCACACTACCTCCACCATGAATGACACTTCGTGTAACGTTCTTCTAATGAAATGCTGCTACTTTTACACCCGATGTAACGGGACACACACCTTCCAGATAGTCCCACTTTTGTCTCAGCAGTCCACAAATTATTTCAAGTTATGAGGTAGCCTGGCAAGCCATCCTATAAATGTAAGTTTATAGTCTGGCCACGACCCATAGACAGCTCAGTCGTGTTTACGGTTGTTTTCCAAACTACCTCCATGTTTTATTGGACAGCAAACAACGTGATATACTCACCACTGCAGATGTCAGTCAATGGGGGCTGAAGAAGATCCTTTAAATGAAGGGTACTTCTATCTGCTCATGACTCAAAAATGCCTAAATAGTCCAAAGTCAACATATTCTCACACCCAAAGCGGCTGAAACTGACCAAGGGCGACCAAGCGTTTGTTTCCGATGTGTTGGGAGGCGACGCGCTGCGCCAGAGCGTCGTTTTCCGACGCCTGCAGTAAAACGGACATTTCACCTACATTTAACCTCTAACCTCAAGTGATTTAACCTTCTCCTCGCCCCATCCTAACCTTAACCCAGTTTCTCTTTCTAAATGTCCTGTTAACCGTGTTTGAGAGGAACGATACAACAAGAAACAAAGTTTTGCATGTGCAAGTGGGTTAAGGTTAGGATGGTTGCAAGGGGAAGGTTAAATAGCAAGAGGGTAAAGGTCACAATTCGCTAAAATCTCCATTTTTCTATGGAGCATGGTTAGACCAGCATGCAGAGCAAAATCATTTAGCTTCAGCTCCTGTCTGTCTAGATTTCTAGGCTATGGATGAGGGACGTTTATTTATTGGTTTGTTCTCTTAAAGCATACATTCTGAGTTTTTTTGTCAGAGGGCACCATCTACAAGCTTGGGGCAGCAGTAGCTCAGGTGGTAGAGCGGGTTGCCCCATGATCGGAGGGTCATGGGTTCGATTCCAGCTCCCGCCAGGGGTATCCTGCTGTTGTGTCCTTGGGCAAGACACTTCACCCAACTTGCCTGTGTTAGTGGTGGTCAGAGGGGCCGACGGCGCCAAATGGCAGCCTCGCCTCTGTCAGACCTCCCCAGGGCTGCTGTGGCTACAAGTAGCTTACCATCACTAGCAGTGTGTGAATGTGAGAGTGTGTGAAAGCGCCTTTGGGTGTCTAAAAAAGCGCTATATAAGTTCAATGCATTATTATTGTTATTATTATTATTATTATTATTATTACAAGCTGAAAAAATGTGTTGCACCTCAAGCTCCACTCCATACTTACTCCGTAGTTAGGACTGGAAGCACCTCTAGCCAGCCAACAGCGCTAAAACACACAGTTTTACAATTATTCTCACATTATGTTTGCACATGTACAAATTTTAAAGACTTCTATAAAAAATGTCCCCAACTCGGCTTCATTTTAGGTTCCTCCTCAAGCACTTGTGCACGCTCTATAATTCACGTGCAGAAATGTGGATGTATAATGCTACTGGCTAATGCTGGGGGTATGTATGGGGCTCTTTGGGATGGGGGCAGACTTGGCAAAATAAAAAGTTGACAAATTGCCTACTTTATATCACAGTACAGGAATGAGCGGTGCCAGGCGGTGAATAGGGGTTACTTAAGCAACGGCAAAATTAGGCCAAGCAACGGCTTAGTGACCCCAACTCTTAGCTCATCGGTCCGCGCCAACGGACAGCAGCACCAGTCACCAAGCAACTGCACAGCAGCTGTAGGTGAAACACCCAGGCGCCGCCCCCAAGTACAGGTTAAGACCATCACTTTTATGGATGTCTAAAAATAAAGTCCTATATGTACATAATTCCTGGAAGAGGGAAAACTCCAGATTGCCGCTTAATAAATCCTAATTTGAAAACCATGTTTTGTATTTCCTCGGGTTAAATTTGCCTGTCATTTTAATGAACTGGCTGATCTGAAACATTTAAGTGTGACAGAAAAACAAAACTATATCTTTTCACAGCTCCGTATGCATGTTTGTTGTTGATTATAACACAGAGCCAGAAGAACCGATACATCTTTTGTAAAGATTTATAGGTGTTTGTGTTATAAGCAGAGTTTTTTTCTTTTTGCTTGAAAGCACACGGCTGTGTAAATGTGTTTACTGTATAGCCTAACACCCATGACGGCATGCCTCGAGCTGTGTCATAAGAATGGGTGACAGTTCAGCTGGAGAGCAGCTCTGGGTCAAGTGTTCCGTCAGTCGCGCTTCACATGGTGTTTGAGTTGCTCTGACAGACTTCTCTGTTTAGCTTTCTGCAGCAGCCACAAGTAGACCCCTCGGTTTTCTGCCAAGCATAACAATGGACGTCACCATGTCCCAACAGCCTTATATAGCCTCTTTTGCAATGGGTGTGAAGTAAGGTTACGTTAACCAATGAGAGCACGAACATAAGCTTATTAAGTATGCTTTTATTTATTCAATTGTTCTGGTTTTGCCACAGTTAACCAAGCAAAATATGCTGGAAACAATCAATAAATCTGATTTATGTATATACTCTGTAGGCAGAGGGCTGACTGAGACATGCTTGAGACCCGCTTGGCCTCAGGCTCTAAATGGATAATCAGGGCAACAATAAAGGTTTGTTCTGAGGATAAACACATCATATGCTTTATATTCTGAGCCTCGGCTGAACAGAATACCCTTCATAGAGAGCGTGAATTACCCTTTAACGTCAATACCACGCTTTATGTGTGCCCATTAACTCATTGACCATTTTCGTTTCTTCTTTTCTGTTTAAAAAAGCCGAAGTTGTTCTTAGTCACAATGACTTGCAGGTTGAAGTAATCAGAGCTTTTTATTTCTGATGTTCCTGTTTTTTAAAAATCAGATCTTGAACTTTTAACCCCCCCCCCCCCCCCATTGTTGTCAGACAGAAACCATTCCTTTCCTTTCCTTCCAGAATTTGCAACGTAAATTAATCTCGCTAAACTAAACACCCACAAAAAGTACTTTTATAATGCACTGACAGACATTAGAAAACAGGGATCTTTTTATTATTTTGCTTAATATACTGATAAAGGTACAGAACGAATGCACAAGTAGATAACATGAGGGTAGGAATATAGATTGACCGGTAGATCGACAGCTTTGCCTCCTGGCTCAGGTGAAGTTTTAATCTAAAATGGAATATGAGTAAATTAAAGTCAAAGGAAAGGGTACTAATTTAAAGACTTGTGTGAAAACTAAAAATACTGATAATACAGAGGCATGTAGATCTGTTTCTTCTGTTTCTTTGTCATCATGCAGGAACTCACACGTAAAGACGAACTTCATCATAAAATTAAAACTGTCCTAAAGGCTGTTTACTTTGCCTGGCCAGTTAGGAACAACAGTTTTAAACAATGCCTTATATCATTCAACAGAAATGTGAGAATAAACAGACCTTACTCTGTTGTTTCTATTAGTATGAGCAATCTCACGTTGTCATTACTGATAAAAAAAGAGCCTGTTATCTATAGGTAAACATAAAGTAATGTCAACATATATACTCAGCATGAAAGATGAAGTGTGTACCTTCAAACATGAGTACACTGTAAAAAAGGATGACTTATGTGAATTTATTATAACTCACTAGTTCTGGCATGATTGACCAATTGTTGGATTTTCAGTTTGATCTTTAGACTCTTTACTGAAATACTGAAGCTTTAATGATGGTTATTTTATTGCAACTGATGTCACCAATATTGTTTAAATCATATAGTTCCACTGAGATCCAAAATCTCTTTTGCAAGGGAGCCCTGGCCAAGATGGCAGATAAAAATAGAATTTATTACTGATTTTGAACCCTTCCGACAATGATATCTAAACCTTTCATATATATATATATATATATATATATATATATATATATATATATATATATATATGAAGAGAGAGAGAGAGAGAGCTGAGCTGGAAGGCAAAGCTCTCGATTTACCGGTCGATCTATGTTCCTACCCTCACCTATGGTCACAAGCTTTGGGTAGGGACCGAAAGAACGAGATCACAGATACAAGCAGCCGAAATGAGTTTTCTCCGCAGGGTGGCTGGACTCTGCCTTAGAGACAGGGTGAGAAGCTCAATCATCCAGGAGGGGCTCGGAGTAGATCCGCTGCTCCTCCATGTCGAGAGGTATCTGGTCAGGATGTCTTCTGGACGCCTCCCTAGTTTTGAGGTTTTCCGGTGTCGGTACAGCATCTGCTCGGGTGCAGGATCGGCTCGGGGTCCTTAGACTGCCGATGAACTCAAAGTAGTTGATTGGCTGAACATGAAGCTTACGGAAGTGACGTTATCACGTTATGATTTTGATTGGCCAGGACAAATTTGCGGTCGTAGTCTTAGCGGTTGTAGTCCTGTAGCCCAAAAATCAACACTTTTTGGAGAAAATATGTTTGCATTTCTAAAGGAAATGTAAAATATAAGCAAATGATAAACGGTGACCCTCAAAAGCTCTTGATGTTGATGAAATGGGGCAAAATAAAATTTAAGAACTTTATTGAAAGACACCAAGCAATATTTTGAGTCAAAGAATTTATTTAGATAACAACTAAGGAAATATACAGACTAAGTCCACATTAATACAAACAGATATGGCTTCACATATAAAAACTTCTATTTTTTGTCAGTCCGATGTTGGTTTTATGCAGTTTCACATTCTTTACAAAACAAAGCTAATATGGTGTTTTATTAACAAATTACAATCATAAAGAAAACATTTAGGTGTTAACAAACAATAATTTAGTAATAAAACTGCTGATGTCTTTCCGAAACGTATCTGTGAAAGCCGAGTAGATTTGCAGTAATGTGACGTCATCGGCAGTCGAAGGACCCCGAGCCGATCCCGCACCCGAGCAGATCCTGTACCGACACCGGGCACGTCCAACCCGGAGGAGACCTAAAGGAAGACCCAGAACACGTTGGAGGGACTATGTCTCTCGGCTGGCCAGGGAACGCCTTGGGATTCCCCCAGAAGAGCTGGCCCACTTGGCTGGGGAAAGGGAAGTCTGGGCCCCCGCAATCTGAAGCACACAGCTGAATCAAATAACAAAGTCAAACAATAAAAGAATGAACACTACCATCAGTAGAATGCATCTGAAGTTTGTGTCACAAAAAGATTTTACCTGTTTTATTTTTTTTGGGGGGGGGGGGGGGCAGTTTTACCAAGAGAAATATTTGAGAGTATAATAATTTATACATGATGAAACATTTTAATGATTTTGAAAATCCGCATAAACATATAGATAGATAGATAGATAGATAGATAGATAGATAGATAGATAGATAGATAGATAGATAGATAGATAGATAGATAGATAGATAGATAGATAGATAGATAGATAGATAGATAGATAGATAGATAGATAGATGATAGATAGATAGATAGATAGATGATAGATAGATAGATAGATAGATAGATAGATAGATAGATAGATAGATAGATAGATAGATAGATAGATAGATAGATAGATAGATAGATAGATAGATAGATAGATAGATAGATAGATAGATAGATAGATGATAGATAGATAGATAGATAGATGATAGATAGATAGATAGATAGATAGATAGATAGATAGATAGATAGATAGATAGATAGATAGATAGATAGATAGATAGATGATAGATAGATAGATAGATAGATAGATGATAGATAGATAGATAGATAGATAGATAGATAGATAGATAGATAGATAGATAGATAGATAGATAGATAGATAGATAGATAGATAGATAGATAGATAGATAGATAGATAGATATTCTTGAGGTAACGCCGTTGGCGCTTGTAGAGCTCTGCGCATGCGTGACATGAAGTCGGCACTGTCTTGACCGACACGTGAGACATCTAGGCATGTAAATGCCATCCAGGATCCCCCTTAATGTCCCCCATGTCCTACTTATATAACATTCATGTGCTGAAATAAGACCCCAGACTCTATGTGAACAAACTTTCCTCCGCAGTGCACAAGTGTACACCTTTAAGCCCGCGGAGAGTGCACCGAGTTCATGTGTCCGTGAAGGCGCACGATTCGCCCGAGCGCCCGGCCGCTGACAGTTCGTTCGCCCCGTTCGCTCCAGCCGAACAATGCACCGAGAGTGAGCCGACGGCTCCAAAATGTCTGTGTCTTTAAAACAGAAGTCTACACGGAGTGGTGCATGATGTCAGCCCGCTCGCAATCCGTGTGCTGCCCGCGTGAGAGCCGCATTCCACTTCCTGCACAGGGACAGGAGCGGGCAGAGAAAGAGAGAGTGGGATAGCGAGATGGGGCACGAGCGGCCAAGACAGGACTAAAGTAACAGAGTGAGCCATCGGACGAGGACGAGAGAGGAACCCGGGCCTGCTTCAAGTAAAGAATCATTTCAGATTCATAAAGAGTTATCCGCAAAAGAAAGCCTGCCACCTCTGCGCCAAGCCGACTGCTTCATTCTATGGAATAGCGACGTATCGGGTAAATATATCCTCCTTCTTTCCTGGCGCGAGCCTAGTTTGTATGACGCATAGGTCTTTAGCCACTTCTCCCTCTTCCTCTCGCTTCTCTATCTTTATTTTGTTCATCGACGGGACACTCACAAGCTAACAGCAGTTTTTCATAAAAACATCACAAAACAAAGTTTAGAGTCTTGAACTTAAGAAGTAATATCAGAAAAATTTCAACGATATGCGTAATTCCCGCGGCCGTGAACGCAGCACCAGCAGCAGAAGAATTTGATTTTTAAATCAATAGATATTTATAGGTGTACCTGCTCGCCCCGAGGAAAAGACAGCCTTGTAGTTGTTTTGTTTTGTTCAGCGTGACTTGTGATACACTTGCACAACTACAAGGAAATCAGTTCAGGGTAATGTGGGTGTGTGCTGAGATGTACAAATTATCTCATGTTCAATGCAACATACGTGGAATTTTTTCCCCTCGAAACAGAGGCCTTTGAATTGGATGTGTGCCAAATACAAATAAAGGAAAGCGATGGCTCTCAACAGCCGTACTTTGTGTGTGTGTGTGTGTGTGTGTGTGTGTGTGTGTGTGTGTGTGTGTGTGTGTGTGTGTGTGTGTGTGTGTGTGTGTGTGTGTGCGTGCATCAGTGTGTTGGTGGGCTTGTTAGCGTGTGTCCCAGGATGCCCCTTCCTCTATAGACCTCTCAGCTATATGGCGTTCCTACAAGGGGGGCCCGGGCTGATTGCAAGAAGTGTGGGAGTGTCAAGGAGAGAGAACTGCAACACCAAATCTATAAATGATACCAACATTGGCCCAAAGAAAACAGTCAAAACACAAACAATAAAGATAAATTTGGATACATCTCATGCCTTGAATATCCACTTCCACTGAATTCATGTTTCATTTCCTCTGAAATGGATTTTTAGGAACTGACATTCATCTTTGGAACCAGTTGAGCAGGCAGATAGAAACCACCCAAAGGTGATTTGTTTTTGTTCAACCATAAAAAAAAAGAGAATAGTTGCACATCAAACCTCTGTCACCATTACACTAATTTAACACCATTGCTACATAAAATGTGTATAGCATGCTATGAATGTGCACATCTACAGCAAACTCACTCCTCAACCCTTTATGGTGCAAATGGGCTTTAACGTCTACGCTCAGAGTTTCACAACTTCTCAAAGCATCTTCAGTAACATACGTGTGACGATTACTTCTTTGATTTGTTTTCATGGCACAATGAGAATGACTCGAAACTGCCTCGAAGCATCGGTGCGTAAGAAAGCACGCTCAACGATTTTAATTTTCTAGCCAGGCAACATGTTTGACTTTGTGGTACCACATTACACAGCAACCAGCTACAGAGACCTCTACAGAGAAGTCTTTATTTCTGTGAAATCCATAAAACATTTGAGGAAAAACTGCTTCATAGAAGTCTGAAGAGAAAATAGCCACCTTCTTGGTAACGTGCACACACCATGACCAATGATGGCGAAGGGACCTAAAATACTAAAAAAAAATAAAAATAAAAAAGGAAAAGAAATAATGTTGACTAAACATTGGACTCTTTTTAAAACCCCCTACTGGGATTTCCAAAGAGAAAACAAAATGCCAGATTGAGTCGTTCTTGCTGATCATCAAGCCAATGTATGGTTTTACAATCACAGAGAGATTCTGATATGAAATCCACCGTTTAGAAACTCAGAGGCTACATTGATAGAAGGTTGACTCAGTCAATGACTCAGACAACAAAACCATAAAGGTTTAACTCTGACACACCTTTATTTCTGCTGAGCATCATTTATTTGCAAATGCAGGAGTAACTATTGATTTGGTTTTGTGTCCTAATTTTTTTCTTCGGTTGACTGAAAAGTGAAGGTCTTTCAGAAACGATATATTTCGCCATTATTTTTCTAGTCTTATACCAGAATCTTGAAGGTCTTCTATCCTTTTCAAAGCTTCTCTTTTCACAGTGTTTCTTCTCCTGCAACCCTTTGTACAACATTACAGTTTTCCATCTACAGCTTTGCTTATATTGAAACAAATGTGTTTTTCTGATAGTGTGGTTGCATCTCACAACTGTTCAAGGAAGCTCAGGTGCAAAAAATTAGCCAAATCCTGAATACTACAACTTCCCGTCATAGTTTAGGAGGCATTTAAAGTGTCCCCAATTTTGGGGGGGATTGGGAAGCCCTCATAAACATAAAGAATCAAATGCTTACCTGAAAAAATAGTTTGTATGACTTACATTAGGTTTTGTTATTACTGGATTTCTAAAAAATAAAGGTATATTTGAGAGCTGTTACCAACCTCTAGACTTTACAAAAAACAATTAGAACATTTTCAGTACACCTTTGATATTTGAAGGACTCTAAATTTCTGTGTTTGCGTTATCTCACACAAGTTTAGGAAAAAATAAGGGCTTTAAAGGTCAGTCTAGGGTTTGTTTAACTCTAGATTTTTAAGGGAACAGCAGACTGCTGGTTTAAACTATCTAGCAACCTTGTTTTTCCTGTATCGTGTGTGTGTCTGTGTGTGTGCGCGCGCGCACACGTCCGTGTATGTGCACGTGTGTGTGTGTCTATTCACACACCTTTGTGCCTGGAGCTTTTCTTTCCCTGTGTATCCGTGTATGCATGTGTGAGGCGTGTGTTTATTTGTCTATAATTTTCCTTTTAGACTGTGATGAGTCATTGCTGATGGTATGTGATACAGGGCACCAGTCATACATCATAATCTCAAACAATTGTGCTGCGCATTCTAGGTATTGCTGGGCTTGTTCAAGGTAAAACCTGAGGGGTAACAAACCTGTTTGGGCTGGTGTGTTCAGGCATGTTACCATTCGTGGAACTGGAATTCAAACAGTTAAGTGGAAGAGGAAAAAAAGAAAAAAAAATGTCCTTTTTCTTAGCTGTGTCTGAGAATTCCTAAAAAGACATTTGTCGTTAGAAAACGAAAAGCTAGTGTTTTTTCAGGGACATAATATTCATTTTGAAGGTGATAGAGACGAGTCGTATCAACAAACTGTACAAACTTTACCAGGTGTTCATGCTCAAGCTAGAATGAAAAACAACCTTTTTGTTTAGTTTTGATAAGCATTTCATTACCAAAATCCTAATTATAAAGATGCATTACCCCTAATCGCATCAAACACTAAAACTAATTACTAGGAATATCCAATATTATCGATCTGCGGTTTAATATCAGCCAATATAAACATTAAAATTTAATATCGGAAAACATCAGTATATCGGATATCGGTATAAAAGCCAATATTGAGTATTCCTACCACAGACAAAAACGCCAACTTTATTGCAACCATGTGTCTTAAACCAGTTAAGTCAAGCTTAAAACTTCAGTGAATAGGCTTTTAAAACAAAGATAATACCAATATTTTAGTACACACATCTTTTGTACGTTCATTCTGTGTGATTCGTTAAATGCAATTGCTTGGAGCCAAGCAGTGGAATTTATTACACACCTGTTTTAAATGAAGGAACTTAAGAACCCAAACCCTTGCAGAATAGAAACCTACATAGAAAACCAAAATCTAGGTGGAAAATAAATAAAAGTTGTAATATATATATATATATATATATATATATATATATATACTGAGCAAAAATATAAACGCAACACCTTTATTTCTGCTCCCGATTTTTCATGAGATGGGCCTAAAGATCTAAAATTCATTCCAGATACACAATATTACCATTTCTCTCAAACATTGTTCACAAATCAGTCTGAATGTGTGATAGTGAGCACCTGTGCTTTGCTGAGATAATCCATCCCACCTCACAGGTGTGCCACATCAAGATGCTGATCTGACATCATGACACAGGTATACCTTAGACTGCCCACAATAAAAGGCCACCCTGGAATGTGCAGTTTTGTCTCACAACAAAATGCCACAGATGCCACAAGCATTGAGGGAGTGTGCAATTGGCATGCTGACAGCAGGAATGTCAACCAGATCTGTTGCTCGTGCATTGAATGTTCATTTCTCCACCATAAGCCGTCTCCAAAGGCATTTCAGAGAATATGGTAGTACATCCAACCAGCCTCACAACCGCAGACAACGTGTAACCACACCAGCCCAGGACCTCCACATCCAGCAGGTTCACCTCCAAGATCGTCTGAGACCAGCCATTCAGACAGCTGCCGAAACAATTGGTTTGCATAAACAAACAATTTCTGCACAAACTGTCAGAAACCGTCTCAGGAAAGCTTAACTGCATGCTCGTCGTCCTCATCGGGGTCTTGAACTGACTCCAGCTCATCGCCTTAACAGACTTGAGTGGGCAAATGCTCACATTCAATGGCGTCTGGCATGTTGGAGAGGTGTTCTCTTCACGGATGAATCTCAGTTTACATTGTTCAGGGCAGATGGCAGACAGTATGTGTGGCGTCATGTGGGTGAGTGCTTTGCTGATGTCAGTGTTGTGGAACGAGTGGCCCATGGTGGTGGTGGGGTTATGGTTTGGGCAGGCATCTGTTATGGATGAAGAACACAGGTGCATTTTATTGATGGCATTTTGAATGCACAGAGATACCGTGATGAGATCCTGAGGCCCATTGTTGCGCCGTACATCCATGAACATCACCTCATGTTTCAGCAAGATAATGCACGGCCCCATGTTGCAAGGATCTGTACACAATTCTTGGAAGCTGAAAATGTCCCAGTTCTTGCATGGCCAGCATACTCACCGGACATGTCACCCGTTGAGCATGTTTGGGATGTGCTTGACCAGCGTATATGACAGCGTGTACCAGTTCTCACTAATATCCAACAACTTCGCACAGCCATTGAAGAAGAGTGGACCAACATTCCACAGGCCACAATTGGCAATATGATAAACTCTTTGCGAAGATGAGTTGCACTGAATGAGGCAAATGGTGGTCACACCAGATACTGACCGTTTCTGAGTCCCCAGAACCCCAATAAAGCAAAAAAGTGCACATTCCAGGGTGGCCTTTTATTGTGGGCAGTCTAAGGTACACCTGTGCACTACTTA